TCAAACTCACAGAGATCCGCCTGCCTCTGCCTCCCGAGTGCTGGGATTAAAGGCATGCACCACCACCGCCCAGCATTAGAAATTATTTTCAAATATTTTTTTTATTCTGTAGATGTAGGGCCCTAGTCTGCCCTTATTCCTGGGGCGCATCTCGAGGACAATTTCTGGTCAACATGACCAAGCATTCAGCCCTTATTCCTGGGGCGCATACAGTTTCTAGTCAGATGACCAGCATTCTGTTAGTTCCTGTATTCCCCTGCCCCCCCTGGTGATTAGCTGCAGGGCATTCACTCCATTGTTGATATGGTACTTTCCCACCTGCCTGGGGGGGGGGGGTCCTAGTGCTGCAGTTAGGTAGATAAGGTCCCCAAGTCTGAATAAACCAGCATTCACTTGATCTCCTTTCGAATGACCCTGGTCTCTCTGTGTCTTCAGTTCAATCTCCAGGTCCTAACTCGACTCACATTCGGTATAGTGGCGCGCGAACTGTACCGAGGGTGTAATACCAAAACCGGGTGTTACATGTAGAGTTTGTTCCCTATATTTTAAAAAATCATTTTATGGCTGTGCAGCAGTGGCGCACACCTTTAATCTAATCGGGAGGCAGAGGCAGGCAGACCTCTCTGAGTTCGAGCTCAGCCTGGTCTACAAAACGAGTTCCAGCACAGCCAGCCAGGACTGTTACACAGAGAAACCCTGTCTCGAAAAAAACAACAACAACAAAAATATTTTATGTGTGGTGAGTGTTTTGCCTGCACATGGGCACCATGTGTGTTCCTGATGCCACAAAAGCCAGAAGAGGGCGTTAGATTCCCTGGAACCAGAGTTGTAGACACTTATGAGCTTATGAGTTGTAGACACTTATGTGGGTGCTGGTACTGAACCTATGTTGGAGCACATGCTAAACCAGTATTCTGCCACAGACTTACATGAACCTGACCCTCACATTGTGATGAATCCCAATTCACCTAAGTTCCTTTGTGTTCCGTTTTTATGTCTAACCCAACAAGCCACTGCCTTACCCGCGGCTTTGGAGGGCTGGTGTTGGGCTTCCTCTAAGAATGCTGTAGTTTTAGAACTTAAATTTCAAGTCTACAATCCATTTCAGCTCACTGTTTGTGTATAGTGTGAGGCGTGGGTCTAACGTCGTTCCTGGGTGGATAATCTTTCTGGTGTTTTCGCTACCTGAAGAGGGTGTGCTGCGCTCCACACCTGCCTGCTTATTTCAGTGCCCTACACTGCTAACCACACAACTATGACCATGCTATTATGAGCACATATGAACCTCGGGTTTTTATTTTTACAAAGTTCATGACTTATCCTGATGTTCAAACACTCAAACTGAATCAGAAAGAGAGAGCAAGAGAAGGTAAAATCCCACATGATTTCCTAGAAATAAATAATAAACAAATAAAATAAACTGAACTGAGAACAGCAAATACAAGGAATGCATATTTCCTTTCCCGTGGAGCAGAGGTTGCACTGTTATCTCAGAGGTCTCCAGAACTATGCTTTTGCTCACACATTTTTCATTGCTTCATAGCTTACCAGTTTTTTTCACGTTCCCCTCCCCCACCTCCAGTCCCCCTCCACAAGGCCTAACCGCTTAGATGAAAACAGTGGCTGTGGAACCTTCCTTCCTACCCTGCATTCCCTGGTTTCTGTCTCCTTGGTAGCTTCTCATCCCTGACAATCTGCCTACCTAGTATTCGAAAGGAATAATCCATTATGCTTCCAATTAAATTTCAAGCCCCATCTTATATGTTCATGCTTGAAACCCCCTCCTTTCAACCCCATCGTTATGTTTTGTATCAATACTCAAATAGCTTTGAAAGTACACCACGGGGGAGGTCCGGATAAAAAGCCGAAATCAACCTGAGGATTAACAAGTCCAGGGCTGCATCCGAGGACAGATCTGCGAGGTATCATTTGGTCTAAATCTAAGTCCAGTGCTTGGTACCTTATTTGGATATTGCTGCTTTCAAAGCCTGAGCTGTTCTTCCAAACACTGGAGTTCTCGGCTATTTTTCAGCATGATGTAAGTACCACAAGTATTGCATTGTCTTAGAGGCTTGGAAAGGGGGGTGTTCAGATAACAGACTACATTTAAATATGTTAGAAAACATTAGGTAGAAGTAAATATTTAAGAAATGTACTTGAAGACCTCACTTGATGAACTAGAAGGGGGAAATGTCTTAGTTTCAAAGGTTTGAGCTTTGGCTCCTCTTTAATCTTCAAAGCAGCAGCAGCTTGAAATACTCAAAGTGAAGGCCTGTAAGAACCGGCTGCACCCACCCTAATTCTTCTTCCAAATGTATTTGACCAAGGGTCTCTGCCTCCCGGTGCTTTATACCACTCAAACAGTTTGCTGGCTTTTTAAGGTAGCATAAAGTCTCTTTCAAAACTATAATTTAAATGGGGCAGTTATTTACAATATTCCCCCCATCACTAATTGTAGGGAACACTTACTGAGGTAGATTGAGGAAACATGGTCGGCTGGCCGTCCAAGTGGCACATTCTATAGTGGGAGGTTGTTCAGAAAATAGCTTACTGGGAAATGGTTAGAATGTGGAAGCTGAGGCATTAGAGGGCTATGAACCACCTCACTTGGCTTCAGCAAGTTTGAGGAAAGGGAATATTCAGAAAGGACAAGGATATTTTTGGTTCTAAAGACATGTTAGGGAAACTAGTCACTCCAGGCTTACCGGAACACACATAGGTCATTAGGAATAAATCTGGGCCTCGTTCCTGATTCCATTTTAATTTTCTGCCCTAACCTTCTAAGCCTCCAACCCATACGCATCTTCTTTTTCTTTTGCGCCACTTCTAATGTCCACTGCCATCTAGAGTATTCGTCTTTTATAGTGCATTACATTGGTGCTTTGCCTGCATGTATGTCTGCATGAGTGCTGGACTCTGGAGTTACAGACAGTTGTGAGGCGGGTACTGAGAACTGGACCCCGATACCCGGGAAAGGCAGTGAGTGCTCTTAATCGCTGAGCCATCTCTGCAGCCCAGACCACAGATCTTTTGGTGATAAGGTGAGTAAACAAACAGCTGCAGGAAATGTTCACACAGGAGTTCCTTAATGATGAGGTTTCTCTATGGGCTAGATTCTCTGATATTGGTACCAGTATGTTTTCTATATCCTTTGACCCATCTATCTGTAAATGTACACATAACATAACTCTTATTTGAAGTTGCTAAAATTCACACACAAGGAAAAAAATCTGAAAATCCTGCCCGAGAATCTAGTAACTGCCCTAGCCACTCTGTCCATCCCACAGAGGATGTGACACCGAATGCAGTTCTTAGTGGTGACAGAAAAGGCCATGATGTGGCAGGTTTTGAGTTGGTAGAAAGACTAAAACCAAACCAAACCAAACTCCTCATGACTCCAACATAAATTAACATTTGCGGGGTTTCCTTCTAGTCTTTTTTTTTAATCTATTTTAAAATAAGTGAGTTTTTGATTTTACAGCTTCATGTACATACATTTTTCTACAGATTTTTTTGTTTGTAGTTTGTTTTGAGGAAGAATTTCTGTAATAGCCCTGGCTGTCTTGGAACTCACTAGACAGACCAGACTGGCCATGAATTTAGAGATTCACCCGCCTCAGCCTCCAGAGTGCTGCACCACTATTCCTGGCTTGTACAGATTTTCTACTCTAGCAAGTAATTCTCCACATCATTAAAAATATTCTCCTATTTTTTTCCCAACACCATGCTTTCATCAACACTTCTCCCGCCTGAACAACCCTGATTCCAAGTCAACTCCTTGCACGGTAGCAGTAACTGGAGTGGCAAGCCTGGTGAGAGGCATCAGTTCCTCCATGATGAACAGCTAGTGTAAGAAGAGTGGTTTCCCTTTTGTTTCCACCCCCAGACCTCTGGCATTTGACTAAGTTTCCCCACTTTCACTCCCTTAGGGGTGCCCACCCCTTTCTGGAGGTATTGTCGATGAACAAAGGGTTATCTGCCCAGTAGATTCCCCTTTGAAGTGCCTGAGGCACTTCAAGAAGTCCAAGAGACTTAAAACCACGCTCTTTTACAGTGTGTCTTATCTGAGTCTTCCTGACCTAAATAAATTTTGAGCCATGGATTTGCTAGAGGAGGCAATTTCCCTGGCTTGCTGATTCTTTAACAGAGTGCAACAGTTAGTGGGGAAGGTGGGAGTGGGCCGTTCTCCATCTTCACTCAGTCTTCAACAGGTAAAGGTCTTCCCTTTGTGAGCACCGGTTCAAAGCTCCTTGGATCTCTTCGAGGTGCGGCAGAGGGTGAGGAAGACAATGTGCGTGGACCCAAACCACTGAATATTCTAAGTTGAGGATGAAAAGTCGCAAGTGCGCGCAAACAGTTGGCGAGGGTAGAGAAGCGGTCTCGGGCAAACCGCTGCCGGGAGGGGATGTTTTCCCGCTCTTCCCGCGGGAGCGCAGGGGCCGGCTCTGGCATCCGGCGGGCACTTGGGTCCGAGGGGTAGGAATGCTCGCCCACGCCCGGGGGTCCAGCGGAGCCGAGGACTGGCGGGACCCTGCTTGCCAGGCAACTTTTGTGACTCATTCGCCCCTCTGGCCTTTCTCCTGCTTTTGTGGGATGGGATGTTCAAGACAGACATCGTAAAGTTTCTGCACCCCAACTCCTTGGCGCGATGTCCCCGCACACGTCCCGGGCCTGGGAACTTCCCGCGGCAGCTTCTCACGCACGCAGCCCAGACCCCGCTGCAGGCGCCGCCTCGGCCCCGCGCGCGCCCCTGCCCCCCTCCCCAGCTCCGCAGCCCGAGAGCCCGGATGTTGGATTCCATCCCTGTGCCTGGTCCTTCATTTCCATAAAAGGGCAGCGCTCAGAAGGGCCGAGATTGCGGCCGCCGCCTCCCCCCGCGGCGCTCCCCCGAGGCGCGCGCCGTCCCGGCCCCGCCAGAGCGCGCGCCGCCCCCGCGGGAGCGCGGCCGGCCGAGAACAGAGAGGAGGGGGCGGAGGCCGGCCGGCTGCGGGCGGTGCTGCGGGGCGGGGGCCGGGGCGGGGAGTGGGGGTGGGGCGGGGGGGGGGAGGCGGCGGGGCCGGGACTCCATTTGCCGCGGCGGGAGGCTTCGCTTCCCTCAGAGCAGCGACGCGGGCGCCGCCGGCCTCGTCTGTTGCCGCGGGTGCCGGGCGAGAGGAGCACGGTGAGGGGCGCGGCGGGAGGAGCGGGGCGCGGAGGGCGCGGCGCGGTCACCCGGGCCCGGGCGCGGACGGGCGGGCCGGGGCGCAGCGGCGGCAGGTGAAGGCGTCCGAGTCCGCTAGGCGGGCGCTGCGGGCGGAGGCCGGGTACTTTGGGTGCTGCCTCGCCCGCGCCCCGGCGCCTTCGGGTGTGCGCGCGTAGACGCGGCTCCTCCGCCTTCTCCCTCGCCGCGGCCCGGCGCAGCGGAGTCAGTGGGGTTTGTCTTCCTTTGGGGGAGTGACGCTGACGAGAGCCATTTCCTCCGCGCTCGCAGGAAGGAGCCATGGCTCTGGACGGGATAAGGATGCCAGATGGCTGCTACGCGGACGGAACGTGGGAACTGAGCGTCCATGTCACGGACTTGAACCGTGATGTCACCCTGAGAGTGACCGGAGAGGTGCACATCGGAGGGGTGATGCTGAAGTTGGTGGAGAAACTCGGTGAGTTGCACCCCAGATGCCTCCAATAAAGACTTCCCAGCATAGGAGGAGGGGGTGGGGAGGAAAGGCGGCGGGGGGAGGGGTGGAATCGGGAGTTCCTAGCACCCGGTGTGTGCTGTGCTTAAAATGCGAAATTTGTTAGTATTAGGGCGTATAGACCTGCTCCGCTTTGCGTCCTGTTTTGTTATTTCGAGTCTGCGTAAAGTAGTGAGTGATTCGAGCCTACCACGTACTTAACTGCGGATTCCCGGGACAGGACTTGTTGAAAGCTACGAGGTGAAAGCTGCGACTGTGATATTAGGCTGTGTCACCGCGTCTTACCCTCCTTGAACCTGGGTTGATACCGGTGCTTAGGGGGAGACTGTGCGAATTGCGTCGGTCATGAAGTTTCTGTAGCCGGACTACGTGATGGAGTGCCCTGAAATGTTCCACTCACCCGTTCTTGCGAGGGGTGGGGCAGTGCTTGACAAACTTGGTATCTATATTGAGTTGGAAGTAAGCTATTTCGAGCATTTAATTTTATATTAAGCCCGTGAAAGAACTTCGTTTTTTAAAAATAAGACTTTATTAAACTAATTTGAGGTCGACAGAATTTCAGTACACATAATAGTCGATTAATTCTGACTCCGATTGGAAGGGCGACCACACAGGATATTTGAGAAAACTTGGCCCTACGCATTTCGTGACCAGTCAGACCATTTTCACCGGGCCAAATCAACTGACTAGATAAGATGGGTGATTTTATCGGGAGAGCTTTTATCAAAGGGCTGCCTTCCTGGGCTGTGGTGCTTGCTGCTGTGTCTAATGGAGTTGTGCTAAGTTGTTGTGTAGTGGGGTGTCATTTTAGACAGGTTTGGTTGGTTTTGATCAGCATTCATGCTCCGGGTCATCCTGGAAATGTAAGGGATATTCGTTTCTCAGGAAATGTATTTCTTATACAGGGGGAAGGGGCTGTATTTTTACCATATAAACTTAAATGAAATAGTCTGATACACTTTCGGAAGTTAGACTGAGTTCATTTAGGTGAACCTATGTTATGCCCCTGCAGGGAATTTAATTATTGAAGGACCAAAGAAGAACTCATTGCAGGGGGGCCTTCTCCTCTACAAAGTCCATTGTTTGACTCTAGGGACAGCCCAAGAAAGAGCCTCCAAGGAGCCTTCTGAGAATTCGATTTTGCTGATTTAACCAAGTAACTGTCAGCTTACAGTTTTTATTTGATTCAAGTAAATCAATCACTGTTGGCAAAATATTTCCTAACATTTTTTGCCCAGCTCCATTTGAGGATGAAAACTATCCAGTATGGTTACATTTTGACAAGGAAGCAGTCGTTTCTATCAGATTTTCTGATGTGTGACAGACAGACCTTAGTAATACATTGTACTTTTAAATTTAGCTAATTTTTGTTCTTGTTATTGGAGACATCTTACTATGTAGCTCAGACTGGCCTGGAACTTGCAGTGTAGACCAGGCTGGCCTCTGAGTTTTGAGATTAAAAGGGTTCCTTCCCTACCCATGCTCAGAGCCCAGCTCTACATTGTGATTTTTTAAAATCACGCAATAAAGGATCTGTTAAAGGTGACTTAGATGACCCAAAAAGAGGAATATGGTATGTACTCACTCATAAGTGGATTCTAGCCATAAACAAAGGACATTGAGCTAATAATTCGTGATCCTAAAGAAGCTAAATAAGAAGGTGAACCCAAAGAAAAACATATAGTTAACCTCCTGGATATTGGAAGTAGACATGATCGCCAGGCAAAAGTTGGGAGCAGGGGTTGGGGGTAAGGAGAGATGGGGAGAGAGAAGGGAGAAGGGGAGGATTGGGGAGAGCTTGGGGGAATGGGGTGATTGAGATGGAGGAAGGGTGGATATGTGGGAGCAGGGAAGAAGATATCTTAATTAAGGGAGCCATTTTAGGATCGGCAAGGGACTTGGCTCTAGAGGGGTTCCCAGGTGTCCGAGGGGATGTCCCCAGATAGGTCCTTGGGTAGCAGAGGAGAGGGTGCCTGAACTGGCCTTCTCCCATAGCCACACTGGTGAATATCTAACGTATCACCATAGAACTTTCATCTGGCGATGGATGGAGACAGAGACAGAGACCCACACTGGAGCACTGGACTGAGATCCCAATGCCCAGATGGAACTTACTTTTACAGTGAGTGATAGATATGTGTCTATTTTTATTCCTTTTTGTACAGACATCCATTTTGACCAGAACCACGTTTTGAAGGTGCCATTTTTTTTCTAGTGTATATTTCTGTATTCTTTATCAAATTCATGTGATCATACTGTGTAGACTTTTGTCTGGTTCTCTAATTCCATTGCATTAATAATCATTTCTAGTTTTTTTTTTTGGTAAAATGACTTAGATGAGTTGAAGGTCTCAAAAAAAGGCTTTCATGAATAAATAATGATTTCTACTATATTTACATCACTTTGACTGTTATGATATCACAATTATAAATAGAATTGTAGTAGATGAGCTGTTTGTAGACAGGATTGAGGTTATTTTTGAGTAACTATAATCTTAATAAATAATGCTGACGCCGATTAATTACATAGAGAAAAACCTAAAAGGAGCAGCTGGAAACTTTTTTACCTCTCTTCAGCTGAACCAGGACTGATTCCTCTGTGTTTCAAGTTCCAAATAGGAGATATTTTTCAGCAGACTCGAAAGGTACATAGAGTAGGGCCATTTTAAAATGTCCACAAATCGGGCCAGTCAAATTAGAAAAGAATTTGTGGCTTATCAGGTTTGTCTTAAGTGGGAATGAGCTGCCATCTGAAGTCCTGCATGGTTATCACTGAGGTATTAATGGGCAGACTCAGTGGCTGCTTGTCCACAGTGGCTAAGTAGATCAAAGCAGCCTACAGAGTCTAGATAAGAGATGGAGTCATTGTAGCCATGAGAGGGGACAGCGTCTGGTGTCTTCAGATTGCACTGCAGTACTGGGCATGTAGCAAAAGCAGGCTATGTGGCCATGGACTAGTTAATGACGATATACTGCAGGCAGCCTTTAACCTGTATCTTCAGGCTTGCACTGCCTATCTGATAGTCTTTTCATGCTCATTGGAGAGTATATGATTACCAAAGGTTTTATGATTCAAAGCTATCTCCCCCATACAGTATTCAGGCACCCCTTGATTCCCTGGAGTTAATAGATCCCAGGATAAACCCTCCCTTTGATGCGCTCAGTGTGGAAACTCTGGGAAGAGGGTACTTGGCTGTCATTAGGTCCTCAAGAATGCATGTGTACAAAAGAGGGAGCAACCATACAGTAGGGTTTATTGTGCAGCTACAATGTTCCTCTGAGAACAGACGGAGACAGAAGGGTAAATAATGCTCCCTTAGTGATACCTTTGTATTGGGTTTCAGTGTTTCTTAAAGAACATTTGCATTCAATAAAACTAGGGCTCTTTTTATACCTTTTCATTCGTCTAGGGTGGCAGTTTCAGACACATCAGGAGATTTCTGTTTTAATCACCGATTATGTATTTGGCCAATAAAGCTCATGTTGTTAACATTAATAAAAAAAAGAACATTTGCATTTCAGAGAATGTTATTGAAACCTGACTCTTCAAATATCTGCAAAGTCTCACATCTTAGTATAGAGGACACTTGTCATTCTGCTTTAGACGTTTAAGAGAAAACAAGGAGTATGTTGTGACAGGATGTGGGCTGTAGGGACTTAAGACTTTTATCATGATTGTACACCTCAGCGTATGTGAAAATTGTTTTCTTCATCCCTTTAAAAGGCCATAATAAATGCTTTAACTATTACTACAATTGTTATTAAAATTAACATTTTAGATGTGCATAGTCTAAATCCTTTTCATTGTGTGTGTTATAAATTGTACTGTGTTGTATGAGGACATTTTCATGCAGGTATATGACATGTTGTTATATGAGGACATTTTCATGCAGGTATGTGACATGTTGTTATATGAGGACGTTTTCATGCAGGTATGTGACATGTGTTGTTATATGAGGACATTTTCATGCAGGTATGTGACATGTTGTTATATGAGGACGTTTTCATGCAGGTATATGACATGTGTTGTTATATGAGGACTTTTCATGCAGGTATGTGACATGTTGTTATATGAGGACGTTTTCATGCAGGTATATGACATGTTATATGAGGACGTTTTCATGCAGGTATGTGACATGTGTTGAGTGAATGCTGGTTTGTTTTGAAGCAGCATCTCATTACTCACTGTGTAGCCAAGGCTGACCTTGAATTTAGCCTCCGAAGTGTGAGGATCCATGTAAACGCTGCTGTGACTGTCGTGTAGAGTGTGGGTTTTTTTTTTTTTTTCAAGACTGGCATGTGTAGGGTGGGGTTTTTTGTTTTGGTTTGTTTTTTTCAAGACAGGGTTTTTCTATGTAGCCCTGGTGTCTTGGAACTCACTCTGTAGACCAGGCTGACCTCAAACTCTCAAGCTCTGTCTACCTTTTCCTCACCTGTGCTGGGATTAAAGGCATGTGTTACCATGCCTGGCTCTTTTTTTTTTTTTAAAGAAAAAACAATTATCAAAGATAAGGATTATGAAAATAAGATAAAAGAGGATACAATTTAATAATTATACCTAAAAATAAATTCTAAAAGGAGGCTTAATTGGATGGGATTCCTCTGAAGATCCCTGGAAAACAGTGACAGCCCCAGACCTGTGGGAGTCTGCAATCCAGTCAGCACTGGGTTCTGAGGACCAAAGGGATGCTTAACTGAGGGATGCTTAGCTGAGGGATGCTTAACTGGGCTGGTTTCTTCCCTTTTTTCTAGGTACTCTGAGCTAACGGTTGCCTGAGTTTTTGTTCACTGAATTTTAGGGTTACTTTACAAAAGTCTTTTTAGAGCCAGGCAGTGGTGGCACATGCCTTTGGTCCTAGAACTTCGGAAGAAGAGACAGGAGTATTTCAGTGAGTTCGAGGCCAGCCTGGTCTACAAAGCAAATTCCAGGACAGCCAGGGTTACACAGGGAAAACCTGTCTTGAA